CCGGGCTGGGCTCTGCGGGGGCGGGGGGGCACCCAGGCCAGCCCCACGCAGCTGGGTGTGCGGAACACCCACGTGTGTCTGTCTCCCCCTGACCAGGGCTGGGTCCCGTTCAGCCATGTGGCCTGAGTGCCCAGCTCAGGGCCAAGCACCAGGCAGGAGCTCAGGGTGTGAGTGGGTGAATGAGTGCCCCAGTGCAGCAGTTTTGGGGCTCATCTTCTTGGGGGAGAGAAAGGGAGATCGGATCCTCTCCTCTGCAGCAGCTCAGCAGGGACACCAAGGCGCCCACAGCACACCCCCTCTTAGTCCCTGCAAATCTGACTCCCATTCGCGGCTCCTCCATGTGAGCCCTCCTGTCACCCTCCCCGGGGCAGCTGGGGTGAGGTTTCCCGAGGCTGCGCTCTCCCCTGCCCACACCTTCTGCAGTGCCCCATCGCCCTTGGCACGGAGCACAGACCTTTCCCCTGACATTCACCTCTCCTCGTGCGCTGCCCACAACGTACGCTCAGCCAACAGGGCGTCCTCCTGTCCCTGGTGCCCCACTCCCCAGCCTCCCCAGCCCACGGCACCGAGGGTGTCCTGTGGCTGCCCTGTGAAGGCTGTCACCCGTCTCCCTCCTCGGCCACATGGTGTGTCCCAGGCCATCAGGGGTACAGCTGGGGTTCGGAGGGGAGAGGAGTTCAGAGGAGGGGTCCCCCAGGGGGAATAGCACCTAGAAGAGAGATGACTCCCAGGAGGTGGCAGGGACTCGGGGAGCTTGAGGAAACTGTAGGGACACAGGATGGAGGGCTGTAGCCCAGATGTCCCCGGTCCACAGTGCCAGCCTGGGTGACCGCTCCAGCCCTGGATCCATTTGGAAAAACATCTATTTCTGGCTCCCAGTGTCCCCCAGCCCATAGGTGACCCCAGCCCTGGGAGGGCATTTGGCAGCTGGGCCAGGGAGGGATGTCACTGGCCCCAGGTCCCCTGCCAGTCCCTGCAGGTTTAGAACTTGGATGCCGCCGTGGCTCCCCTGCCGCCCTCCCTCTGCAGAGGCCCTGCCCACCCGCCCGCCCGCAGCCCCCCGA